TCCCTATTGAACCCCCAATCCAAGCTATCTCAAACACAACACCTTCTCAACCCCCACTTACCCCCCTCTCCTCCTCACACCATGACCACCATCAACCTCCATCTCCCACTGGGCATCCATTACCCAGGGATTTACATAGTACACGGAATTCCATCGCCATAAACCACCTCATCCGATTATTCGTTCCGCCCGAATGACCACCAAGAGGAAAGGTCACCTAGAGATCCCACAGGTTGAACTCCGACAGCTGCAGAAACACAACAGCCCCAGGCCCCTCATGGGAACCCAGGCAAGCATGGGCTGTAGCCGCTACAGCGGGCAAGAGACATTATCATTCAGAGATCCCACAGGGTGAACTCTGACAGCTGCCGAAACACCCCAGCCCCGGGGCCCTCATGAGCTGTAGCCGCTACAGCCGGCACAGAGCCTAGCATGTCCAAGCCATCGCAGAAACCAGCATGATCATCCAACATGAGCATGCGCCCATGTTCCATAGCCATCTTGCCTTCATATCCCATCCCCATCCCCATCATCCCCGTCTGCATCATCCCCGGCTCGTCCAGGGGAGTCTCGTGCAGCAGCGACGGCATGTTGCAGTCCAGGTCGCAGTCGCCGTCTAGCCAGAAGGAGAATGCGGAACGAGCCGTGGAGCCGTGCGCGTCAGTGTCAGTGTCAGGGTTCCCGATGCTGCCCTCCAGAAACGACTCCAGGCTATCCAGGCTGTCAAGCCTGTCAATACCATCGTGACCGTCGGTGCCATCGCCATTGCTGTCGCTGATGTCATTGCTGTTGTTGCCATCGTCGCTACCAGAGAAGCTATTGCAAGGCCCGGTGCTCTTCTCACTGCCCGAATCACTGCTCTTCCCCCCATCCACTGCAGCAAGAAGCGGCTTCAACGCCGCTTCCAAGTCGCTCTCCTGCACCCCCTCAGCACCGCACTCCACCGCTCCAGACTCCTCCGCACCGTCGCCAACCAGCTCCCCGACCCACTCTCCAGCCGCGAACCTCCTAGCAGCCGGCCCACCGGTCACCTCCACCATGCCCCCCTTGCCCTCCACAGCCTTAAGCGCCGCTGCCAGCTCAGCAACGGCGTCCTCCGCGCCCTGCCACGTGGCACACCCACGGGCCGCCGTCAGCAGCGCGTCGGCTGTAGCGGCCGGCATCAGCACGGGGAGCAGGGCAGGGTCGGTCTTCTCAGAAGAGCCTTCAGCTGTGCTGGCTGTAGCGCCTGCAGAGGCTGCGTCGCCTGCACTGTCTGTAGCGCCTCCTGCAGCAGCTGCATCGCCTGCAGCACCTGTAGCGGCAGGACAGCAGGACTTGCCCTTTGGAGGAGGCGGCGGGGGGAAGTTGAGTTGTGCCTTGGGTCCGCGCAGCAGCCAGGCGGCCATGTCATACACGCGCGCGGCGTCCTCCCACGAGTCAAACGACCCCAGCCAGATGCGCGACCGCCGGCTCGGCTCTCGGATCTCCGTCACCCACTTGCCCCACCGCCGCTGCCGCACACCCTTATACATCCCGCCGCCCGGCGCGCCGCCCAACGCCGCCGCTGCCGCTGCTGCCGCACCAGCCGCATCTGCCGCTGTGATGGTTGGCGCAGAGATCTCGGAATCAGCGCTCTCCGCAGCAGCGCTTCCCCCTCCTGCGCTACCACTTCCGACGCTGCCGCTGTCCGCAGCAGACTCGGAGCGTTGGCAGTGCTTGCTTGCTCGGTGATCGCCGCCGCGTGACTTGCGCCCAACACTCAGCGCCCGACCACTGCCACTGCCAGTGGCAGTCGCAGTCGCGACCTGCGGCTTCTCTCCCCCTACAACCGCCACCGCCGCCATCGTTTTGCTCCGCTTATTTCCTGTGCCTGACCCGCGCGGTCGTCCGCGGCGCCGTTTCTCCCCGAGAGGCGCGGGGCTGGCAGGAGTTTCGCTCGGAGCAAGCGCAGCAGCTCCGCCGAATCCGCGGAAAGCAGCCAGCGCGGCCGCCGGCGGCGGAGGCAACGCGAAAGGAACCCCTGGGGGCGGCAGCATGTGGAACCCCGCCGCGAATGCCGGCGGAACGGGAATCACGGGGCTCCACATGCTGCCGCCTCCTGATAGAGCAGCAGCAGCACCCATCGCGCCGCCGCCACCGCCGCCGCAGCTCGCGGCGCGAATATCACCTGATGAGTAATGCGCTGGTGGAAAGTAGCGGCCAGAAGCGCCTGGAACCGCATATGACCCGCCATTAAACTCGGATTCTCTGGCGTGGAATGATACTCCCGGCGGCCCGCCGGGAGCGGAGGGATAGGCGGCGTGAATTGGACAGGTGACTCCTCCGTTGTTCATGGCGAGAGTCACGGCGGGTACGGGAGGATTATCGCCGACCGTCGAGTTGTCTCGAGTTCCCCGCGATCGGCGGCGGAGCTGGAGCTGCTTGCGCTTTGCCACGTGGACGGCCTGCACGAGCCCCGCGATGGCGGTCTGCGCCGACGAGATGGCCTCCTCTAACGCCGCGTCGCTGGTCCCGTCAATCGTGGCGGAAAGGGCGGAAGGCGTGGACGAATGAGCTGAATCCATTGATGAGACGTTTCGTTCGAATGGAAGGCTGATGGTAAGCGGCGGAAGGGGCGGACGGGGCGGAGGGGGCGGACGGGGCGTAGGGGGCGGACGGGGCGGAAGGGGCGGATTCCCAGGATGCACGACGGCGGCTGATAGCCGTATGATGGTAGAGTGCTCGACCTTGGATCGACGAGAGTCGGACTCCTGCAGCGGCGATGGTAGAGGTTTCAGCCGCTGCACGCGTAGTGAGCGCTGCTTCAAGCAGATCTCCCGGAATAGTAGGGGCAATTCCGCGTCTCGCACTGAAAGGACACTGAAGGCTTGATGATCAAGCACTGAGCTTGTCGACAGGTTAGTAGTGAGTATCCTTCGGCGATAGAAGTCATGTCATATAATATTCCGTCGAACGTAGCAATTCCCCCTTCCACGATGATATGCTCTTCCGTCGAGCCGACGATCACGTTGCGTCCACAGGTTAGTCGGGGGTAGGTCCCGCCTGTATACCCGTTCGCGCGCTCCCGGCTCAGCCAACGAGCGGCGAGCTTCGCGTCACGCACGATCGACAAAGCGAGTGAGAAGCGAGACGGAATCCGAGGGAGGGTACATCTGCGCGTCCCAAAATTCTAGAGCAAGTAGCGAGACGGGATTCAAGGGCGGGCGGATCTACCAGGAGCGCGTAAGGCGCATTCTCGGGGGAGAGCACTGCTCCAACAGGTGGTAACTGCCGCAGCTGGCGCGTGCTGGTTCTGCTTTACTGACAGCGTACCGGGACGCGACTGGGTATTGAGTGGACGAAATCACGGCGCTTGAATCCTAAGCGCGCGGGGAGGGGAAGTTCCCTTCGCCGGGGATTCCTTGTTGCCGTGCTGTCTTGGTTCGCGGAGGAGGAGGAGGCTCACTGAACAAGGCTCCTGCTTGGCTGCGGCCGAACCAACAAATTCGTTACCGGGGCGGAAAACAAGCGAGCATTCTTCCACTTCGGGCAACGGGGCGAGTCGATCCGCCGAGGCGAGAGCCGGAGCGCGAATCTGCGTCTTCTTTCCCCCGACCCCGACGGGTCATCGGAACACGTCAGCGCCGAACGTTACAGCGAATAGTTACGCCTCTGCGGTGACAGGTGTAATCTCGGATGGAGCCAAAAAGGTTGGATTCTGGATGCCATACATAGCTGTCCGTGTAAGCAGCCATGCTGTGCCTCCGTAACTCGACTTATTTCTCGCCTCCTCCCGCGTCGTGTGCCTCTGCACTCCAGCTTCTGGATCAAGCTAGGTTACGTGTGGAACCATGCTATGCTCGAAAGGGTGAACTCCAAAATCTCAACACACTTTTCCCCAAACCAAGAGCTTGGTTCGGAAGCTGAATAATCTCAGCCAAGGGTATATATAATATGATCCCCGCTTACATGCCCCCTTGCAGGTTCTTACGAACAAAAACAGCTGTCAGGGTTGTTTTTAACGAGAACATGACGTGTACGTTTTTTGGCGGGGGGTCGGTTTCCCCTCTTCGCTAAAATATCCCGCCTCTTCTCCTGAATGATACACGCGCAATATCCGCGAAGTCCCTTCCCGCACCAGACGAAGCCAAGTTGCGGGGGAGGCTACTGGCTGCCCAGCCCCGCCGTGGCAGCCACCAGCTGGCGCTCAGCTCGTGGACTCCTCGTGTTGAGCGTGCGGGGTGCGAGTTGGACGCAGGGGCACGCACAGAGCTCGGAGAAGGTGCGGCATTTCGATCAGGAAGTCCCTTCGAATGTTGAGAGAACCTTCCGTTCAAGCTGGTCGTGCAAGCTTTGGGGGCAGATTGTTCTGAACTGTACAGTATGCTGAACACCCTCCTCCACACGGCATTGCTGCATGGTTGGAATCAAACGGTGTGCAATTCTTTTCCCAGTCGTACAATCCGTACACGCGGGCATGTGAAAACACTTGGCTGCATGATTTCCGTTGAACCTCGCAGGCTTCTGTTGCTGCGCTGGAGAAAACAAATCTTCGATCTTCCTCATCTGGGCAGTGGCCTCGGCATTCGTGCTGAAACGTCGAGTAGGTTCATCTGGCTTGTGAGCCAAGCTGGAAAGGTTTGGCCGCCACGTGGAATCCTCGTGAGCGTCGCGGAAATGCAACCGTTCCGATTATGTTCGCATAACACTATGCTTGTGACGAATCACTAAAACGCTGCGAGTATACTTTACAAATAAATGGTGTCTTTCCACAGATGGTAGACAATGTGCTTTCTCGAGTTGACATTTGCTGATGTTTTTATGCAGCAAAACTGCTTCCGTACCAGTAACCTAACGGGTTAAACTTCTTCTTCAACACTAGCCAGAGTACAATATTGTGGTCTTATAACCTAGCACAAGCATGCTTAGCTCATCCACTGACACTGCCATAATCAGCAAACCTCAGATACCACCCGATACCACAATCGAAAGCAACTAGCATAGGTCACAGCATTTGCAGGGTCAATCATGCCCCCGTCCTACAGCTGGTTGCGCAGACGGCGAAGCAGCACAGAGACATCGCTTGCATGGTCGGCTGAGTACCGCTCAAACCGGCGGCGAATTGGGGCTGGAGGAGGGGCAGGCTGCCCCGCAGGCACATTGAGGTAGGTGTGGAACAGCGCATGCCACATGTCATGGTTCCAGTACCTGCCAGCCAGCCATGGCTGTAAGTGAGAAAGCAGTGGTGCAAACACACAGAAAGAATCCACCAAGCTCCTCGAAAAAATCCCACAGGCAACTGACGCGAGGGGGAAACCACGCAAGCGGAAACTTAGGCTGACCTCTTGAGGTGGAGCCTTGGGCGATAGTAAGAAACATTTTCAGCCTCAGAGCTAGCAGCCACGTCATCATCACAACCGTCCACATCCGCTGCTCCACTGGCACCGCCCTCCCCTGCAGGCACCCTCTCGACCTCCATGTACTGCCCGTGCAGCAGGCAGTAGGCAGTAGCACACACCGCGTAGAGATCGGCCTGGATAGGAGCGGCACCGGAAGGCATGGGACAGGAAGAGGGAGGAGCGGCATAGAAAGGTGTGGTTAGAAGTTTGGGCGCAGAGTGCGTAGGGACGAGTGTAGAGTGAGTGTGCTCAAACACATCAATGCTGTACCCCACACTTGATCAACACCATGTCACAGAAGGGCCATGGCATACCACACACATCAGCACCATACCACGCTGTACCACACAGGTACCACATTGTACCGCATGGCTACTACTTCGCACCACACTTGCCATACCTGGGTGGTCCATGGCCGCCCCTCCACCATCTCTGGGCACCGAAAGTTGCAAGCCACACCGTACCACACCACACCACACCACACACATACCACACTGTGTCGTACCTGCGTGGTCCACGGGCGCCCCTCCTCCATCTCGGGGCATCGGAAGTTCTCCGTGCCGCTGTCAGAGACGAAAGAGGAACCTTCTGGGAAGTGCCGCATGTCAATGCTGCGGCCGTAGTCCACAAGGGTGAGACCCTGAAGGAGTGGAGAGGAGTGAGTAGTGGGGAGGAGTGAGGAGTGGGAAGACGTGAGGAGTGGGAAGGAAAGAGGAGAGTGAAGGAGTGAGGAGTGGGGAGGAGTGAGGACCGGTGAATTAGAGAGGCGGATGGGAGATGTCAAGTTGTCTACTGGTGGATGAAGGGATGACAGATGAGAGATGGAGTGATAGTAGGCAGGGGACCGGGGATGCTCAGTGATAGGAGGCACAGAACGAGCAACATATGTTTGCTGCAGTTGCATCTGACCCAGTACAGACTGAGGATGGGGCTGTTTCTGAATTCAGGCATCTTGGTACAGCCTTCCAGACTAGCTGCAATGCAATGGGAGTGGAACCGAGCGAGCTTGGCACAAAGAATGGTCAGTTGCTGTCAGGCCTTTGTGTTTAATTGATTGGTAGAGTCTCAGAGTGGGTTGGAGAGCAGAAGGTGAGATAAAGCTTAGAGATGCGAACAAGAATCAAGTCAAGAGTGAGATTGAGTGAGTCAAGGACAAGCCGTACCGTGGAAGGTGCACCGGCCTCGATTGCAGCAACCATCTCCCTGGGACTCTCACTGTCAGCCCTGCAATGAAGCGCGCATGACAATATGCAGGCAGAACGGGGAAGCCATGTTGCAGCACAAACTTCAGGCTCCTCTGCTTCCTTGCAATCTCTACCCTTTGAGGCATCTAAAATCCCACACGAGAACAAAATTGAGGCGCTCAGAACGAGGAAATCACGTTGCAGGTAGCAGCACACAGCAACACATACCCGAATCGCAGGAGAAAGTTGTCTGGCTTTATGTCGCCATGCAGGATGTGAGCAGCGTGCAAGGCCTCCACAGCTCGCAGTATGCAGGGCATCCCACTCCTCACTTACTGTCTTCCAGCAACACGAGCAGCAAGCAGGGCATCCCACTCCTCACTTACTGTCTTCCAGCAACACGAGCAGCAAGCAGCAAGGCGCAGAGCAGCAAGCACCACTTAAAGCACGCACCCGAACCGCAGGAGGAAGTTATCGGGCTTGATATCCCCATGCAGGATGTGAGCAGCGTGCAAGGCCTCCACGGCTCGCAGCATCTGCGCCGTGTAGAAGGCGCACAGCGGCTCCGGCACCGGCTTGCCTTGCCTCTTGAACGCATTCACCACGTCCTGAGGGGGATGAGAGGAACAAGAGTTTTGTGGATGTATGCACCTGCATACTGACCTGCATGCATACTGACCTGCATTTTCACATGAATACTCGCATGCGTGCTAACTTACATGCATGCTCATGCCAACTCACCTGCAGGGTGCCGCTAGTGCCAAGGGAGCATGTGAGGATAGACGCATTGGAGAACTCGTGGTAAGCAGACGCCGTGCCAAACAGTTGCCGCTGGTGGGCAGGGCAGGGACAGGGGAAAGACGCAAAGCGAGGGAGGAATTGTTGAGGCGCCTCTGGAATTGGGAACTCGTGGTAAGCAGTCGCCATGCCAAACAGTTGCCGCTGGTGGGGGAGAAGGGGGGGCAGAGGAGAGGAGGAAGGGGAGGGAGTAGTGAGGGCGGAAGGGAGAATGGCAGGAGAAAATTGATGTAAAGAGGATTAGCATGTACGTGGATAACAGGGAGGGGAATGATGGTATGAACACAGGCATCAGGCAAGAGTATAAGGGCCAGAATTAGCTTTTGAGTCGACTCTAAAGTTTTGAGTTGACTCAAAAACAGGGAGGGGAATGATGGTATGAACACAGGCATCAGGCAAGAGTATCAGGGCCAGAATTAGCTTTTGAGTCGACTCTAAAGTTTTGAGTTGACTCAAAAACAGGGAGGGGAATGATGGTATGAACACAGGCATCAGGCAAGAGTATCAGGGCCAGAATTAGCATTTGAGTCAACTCTAAAGTTTTGAGTTGACTCAAAAACAGGGAGGGGAATGATGGTATGAACACAGGCATCAGGCAAGAGTATCAGGGCCAGAATTAGCGGAACCAAGTGCGGCAAAGGTGAGTGGATGAAGGACAGGGACGAAGGGTAATAGCCTAGGCACCTGTGGGCCGTCGATTCGCAATTGGATCTGACGGTATATGTAGAACTCCCAAGGGCATGCCTTGGAGTGAAGCTGCAAGACAAAGCGACGGGTGGAGGCATAGACGAGATGATGGATGCGACAGGTTGGAAAGCAGCATTCACAGGCATTAATTAACAAAATCAAACCAGCTACGTGTGATGCTGCTATTTATTTGAAAAAAGAACCGACACATTGCCTCTGTAGCAGTATGTGCAGCACAGCTACCGACACACAAGGATAAGACGGAGCAGTGCAGTACCTTGAGGGCCACAGTGCGGAACACCACAGTGCTCTCTGTGGCCGCGTCTGCCGCCCCAACAGGGGTCTCCATGGCTCCATACACCCTCGCATACGCGCCCTTCCCGAGCAGCCGATCCACCTCGTAGCTCCTGCTGCCTGCAGAATGGAGTGGGGAGGGAGGCGCAGAGCAGGTGGGGAAGGAGGCGCAGAGCGGGCCTGGTCGTCAGTAGAGGAGGGAGATGGTTGGCACGTCGCTAGGAATGGGAGGGGTGGAAGAATGACAGCAAGCAGGCAGGCGGAGGGAGGGGAAGGAGCATGGCAGCAGGGGGTGGGGTACGTACCAAGGCGGAGGTCCACAAGTTCTCCTGCTTTGAGACGATTTTTGAGGCGCCTCAAAACACAGGCTCTCCTGCTTTGAGTCGACTGAAAGCAGGGGGTGGGGTACGTACCAAGGCGGAGGTCCACAGGCTCTCCTGCTTTGCCTTCCCTGAGAGCCTTGAGCCTGGCCGGCACGTGCAGCGGCTCTGAGTGCCGGTGGTAGCCCTGGAGTGGAGCAGGGGAGGGTTCAGGGAGGGACGGGGGTGAGGCCATGTGATTGAAAGCAGGGTTCTGCGGATCCACGCAGTGGCATAGGCTCTCGAGGCAACTCACAAGTCCACCCAAAAAGTCACCCGAGCACATGCATTGGAGGCTGTGAACGGGCTGGACTCACAGGCTCGGAACTGAGAGGAGGCTGAAGGACAGCGAGGAGAGACGCCCTCAGGGATGGGCTCCAGGGGTTGACCTGCTGGGGCGGGCCCGCTGGAAAGGTGGGTACCTGCGGCACACAGGGGGCGACAGAGGCAGAAATGGGTAAGCTGCTAGCGTTGTGCCTGCGGGGATTTCCCGAGGGGAGACGTATGCACATACGCCCGCAGTGATGGCCTGCTGAACCGGGCCGGCAGCAGCAGCGGGCACCTGTGGCTCGCAGAGGGGAGCACAGAGTAGCTCAGAGAGACATGCATTGGGTCAGAGAAGCTCGAGTGACGCTTGTTGCCAGAGTAGGCGCAGCAGGAAGTGAGGCCGCAAGGGCAGCCAGCGTAATTGAGAGAGGAAAGGGGCACGGCGGAGAGATGTACAGCTATGTGGTTGGAACTTGGACGCTCACCCTGGAATGCTGGGGGAAGCGTTTGCAGACCACGGTGGGGTCATCCTGTGGAATACGGTAAGGTTCCGAGGACAGGAGAAACAGAGGATAACAGCAAATGAGGCATGGGTTGCTATCCAGATTTGAACATTCACATACACTTCTCATGAACACATGGACTTGTGCGCATGTGTACGCACATGCTCGTGAATGTATGGAGGAGAGGGACTTATTTAACAACGGAGATGTAAGCAGGGCTCAGATTTTCCAACAAAGCCAATCGGATTCACCACAGATACGTGGCAACAAAGCCACAGAGCGTTACAAAGCCCCCAAGAACAGAACAGCATTGAAAAAACAAAAACAAAAACTCACTCGACTTTCGCGGCGTGTCGCAAAAGGTAGCACATCCCTCACTGCAAATCCCTCACCTGTGCATGCACCGTGTGATCAAAGCGGAGAAAATCCTCCTCCGTCCTCCCACCAGCACCAGCACCACCACCACCACCAGCACCAGAACTAGCCCCACCAGCGGCCACAGCCTGTCCCCTCTGCTGTTCCAGCATCTGCCTGAACCCCTGCACCCTCTCCTCTTCCATACCCAACTCACTCAACCCCCCGGTGAGCCCACTCCCCTCCACTTCCTCCTCCCCCTTACTCCCTCTCTTCCTCCTCCCACGCTTGCCCGCCCCTCTCTCGCCCCCCTCCGCCTCCCCACCTCTTCCTTCCTCTTCACCAGCCGCACTCCGCTGCTCACAACCCCCAGTCCCTGCATCCTCCTCTGCTCTCTCGTCCCCTGCAACTTCGGCCATTCTCGCTTCCCCTGTACCCTCCCTTCCCTGCCTGTCGCTCCCTGGCTCTGCTCTATCTGCTGCAGCTGATGAGTAGTCTGGCGAGCCATCTGCCTTTGAAGGCCCTGGGTTTGCTGTGGGATTTGGATGGGCTTCAAAGGTTGAAGGACAGGTTAAGAGCGGTGCAGCGTGCATGTAAGGAGGTGGAGGCAGGTTCCTGTGGCGGAGCCAATAGAGATAGCGTTGCTCCTCGAAGCTCGTCTCCTGCTCCTGGCATGGGTCTGGGGGACAGGGCACATGGAGAAAGTTCAGACACGTTTCAACAAAGGTACGTAATAAACAACAGGAAGTATGCAGTGAGCGTTACGAGAGTTCGGGTTGGAAATAGCACGGAGACGGCTCCTCTAAGCCGGTCTCCTGCTCCTGGCATGGCTTGGGGGGTAGGCACGGAGCAAGCCTAACGAGTCCTGAGACGGATGAGAGAGTAACGTTGTGGGATGTGAAGCCGCAGCTGGCGAGAAATCAAACAGCGGCGAGCGAGCAAGTTTGGGTCATATGGGAAACGAATGAATCGACCTGCGCTACCTGTGTTTGAAGCACATGCAACTTCAGAGGTCTGCCCTCGAGACCCCATGTCGCCCCGCACACTGCACGGACAACAGCAGGGAGGGAGTAAGAATACAGAGGAGCAAACAGCAAAGGAACCAAGGTAAATGAACCAATCCGTAAGGTCACTTGGCATACCACCGCAGTTACGAGCGGTACAATCCCGATTCCATGCCGCGTTCTGCCTCTTGACCCTCCTGAAAAGGGTCTCCTTCTTAGGCGCCTCAGCAGCAGTCATATTGTAACGCACCTCTCCTGTGCAGCCTCTGCGTGCCTCTCGTGATTCCCCTCCACCTCCACCCGCGGCTGCAGCACCCTCCTCTTTTCCCCGCTGCTCCCCAGCCCCCTGCGCATTCTCCTCCCAGCTGACGGGCTGCCGAGAGCGAGAAGGTCAAGGGGGACACCATCAGGAACAACACACAGTGGGAACAGGGATTGCAGTCAGTCAGACACATTCTCTGGGCGCCTCAAATATCGTTTCCTGCCTCCCAGCATCTAGCACCTCTTCACCTCCTCCTCACCTTGTGACATCCTCCCCTCACCTCCTCACCTCCTCACCGCCTCACTGCCTCACTGCCTCACCTCTCTTCCTCTCCACCTCTCCCAGCAACCCCCCCCCCCCCTCAGCTCCTCATCCACGAAAAATCCAAGGCTGATCGATTCCGAGTGCAGTGATTTTGCCTATACGATGGTGGTTACCCTGTTACCCTGTTACATTCATCTCACGCACCTCCGCAGCTCCTCATCCTCGAAGATGTCAATGCTGATCGACCCTGAGTCAGAGTCCCTCCTCGCCCGCTTGAATGCCTGCAACAACGCACACAACAGCCACGCCTACGTCAGCCTGGAATGCCAGAGCAGAAAAGAAATCGCTGAGCCAGAGATGCCCGAGCCAATACAAGTTGACTTTTGAGTCGACTCAAAAGTCAACTCCATGCCTACGTGAGCCAGGAATGCCATAGCACAAAAGAAATCGCTGAGCCAGAGATGCCCGAGCCAATACAAGTTGACTTTTGAGTCGACTCAAAAGTCAACTCCATGCCTACGTGAGCCAGGAATGCCATAGCACAAAAGAAATCGCTGAGCCAGAGATGCCCGAGCCAATACAAGTTGACTTTTGAGTCGACTCAAAAGTCAACTCCATGCCTACGTGAGCCAGGAATGCCATAGCACAAAAGAAATCGCTGAGCCTGAGATGCCCGAGCCAATACAAGCTTTCCCAGTAAGTGTTGTGAATCACCCCTTAGACATGGATGGATATATCCTGGTCGGCAACGCACCCGACTAAGCTCTGCGAATCACACCGGCCATCTCAAAACCGCACCTGGCATGTGAGCAGCACACCTGAGATCTGTCCCATTCGGACAGCGGAGGGACGTTCTCGTCATGCGGCCCAGTGGTGGGACCAGCACCCATTGGCTGCGATGCACGCCGGCCGCCCCCACCATTGTTGCTGCCGTCCCCAGCCAAAGCACCACCCTCCACAGCGCGATCCTCTTCGCGCGGTGCCCTGCAGCAGCAAGCAAAGAGACACATCGTCAGCCCCACAGCACGCCACGCCAGACCTCCAGGCTCTAGCAGCAGAGAACACACGCAAGGCAGTGCATGTATGAAGTCCGGTTTCATTTCACTGCGGCCAGTGGGAGACACCGATTGGACATCAGCTTGTGGGAAACAGACACCTACAGACACCTACAGGAAAACAGCAAGTGGGACACACGAACCTTGCTGCTAACTTCGCTTCTTGAGGCAAGCCCACTGGCCGCTCTGGCTCTCCACCCACCACTGCTGCTGGCTCATCTGCCCAAGGAACCAATCAGACCACAGCATTACACAGTCGGCTAGTCATCTCCAAAAAAAGAAATAAGAAAAATCACGAGCTACAAAGTGACGGGGAAAGTACCTGCTGATGGGTTAGCTGGTGCAGACAAGCCGATTCTGGATGCTTGGTTCTGATTCGCTCCCTCTCTTCCACTGACCGACCTCGAATGCTCTTGTTCCTTCTGCACACGCACACCACCGTGACAGACGGTGGGACACGCCCACCCCACGTCGTTTAAGTGAGAAGACTTCGAGTGACCAACGCTTTGGGAGTCCTACCCCACGTCCTTTCTGGCAAGGCGATCCCCAAGGCATTGCCAGCAGAGCAATTCTACTCGAGAGAGCAAGGCCACGCAGTGCTGCCTCGGATATCAGAAGCCTCGGAACATTCACATACCCGCTGCTGCTTGCGCAGACTCCGCTTGGCCATTCGTTTACGAAACCCGTCGTACGCCTTTTGGAGCAGCTCCTGAGACTTTTCCTCTATGCACCTACAGATATTGGGGGGGAAGGGAAGGGGAAAGGGGGGAGGCGGGAGGCGGGAGGGAGGAATGGAAGCCGTGGTGAGATGCTGACATCGTTTGATTCCTTGGACATAACGAAACCTCTCCTGCACTGCACTGCACTGCCCACTGCACCTACCATCGAAAGACTTTCAGAACTTCAAATCATAACGTCGCAACAAGGCTAGCCATCTTTCTTCCACCTAGACTCCGCCTCGTGCCTGCTCTGAGACGCACGAGACGAGCTCACCTCTCGAGGCCTCTCCTCTCCCGTAGACCTCGGTGGCCTGTCCGAAGTCATGCATGCTTCCTCTCCAGACGCCTGCGATATCGCTTACGATATCGCTTGAGACGCGCTCACCTCTTGAGACCTTTCCCGTAGACCGCGTTGGCCTGCTTAAAGTCATGCAAATGCTCCAGAACCGCGGCTAATCCTTCGTAAAACAGATTGTGGCTCAACCCGATGCCCTCTTCCGTCAGAAGAGAAAAGACCTTGAGAGGGTCCCCTGTTAGGCCCGCCTGCGAGAACATCAAGAACAGGATAGAGGGCACGCGAATAGACTCGACAAGGGATTTCAATTCTTAATTGACACCTGACGGAACCGTGACTGTTGGGTTGGAAGGCGGAAGAGGGGCGAGCTACTTACATATCCGTACCCTACTTGCGTAATGAATACATATATGCAGGCTTACTTACATTCTGAATCCATATCCGTAGGCTTACTTAGACATCGAATCCATATCCGTAGGCTTACTTACATATCGAATCCATGTCCGTAGGCTTACTTACATATCGAATCCATATCCTAGCCTTATTTACATATCGAATCCATATCCATAGCCGTACTCACATATCGAATCCATATCCGTAGGTACCGAATGTCGTTCTTGTACTCCTCGCACCTCAGAAAGGTCTCAGCGCAGCTTTTGAGAATGTCGAACAGCTCCGAATTATCTCCGCTCGTTTGTGACCAAGAAATTTCCAACTTAATGTATCTGCATGCGCAGGAAAACGACTTTGAGCAAATGCAACTTCTGCGAAGAAAAGCGAAGAAACCGCGGGTGCAAGTGCTGAAAAACGATGAAAACTAAATGTAGTTGATAGTTCCTCTGGTTTCTAACCTGTCCCACGGATCCAAAGGATCGTCGCCGTTGTAATTCCTGATCTCCTCGAGGAGCGACCTGCAACGAGGCCACCGATTTGTTGTTGTTGTTGTTTATTTATTTTAATAACGGTCATTTGCGTCTCATCAGAGTCCTACGATAAACGTCGGCGCGAAACTTCCGCGAAGAGCATCTTGCGCGACGTGTCCTAACCTTTTTTCGCTCTCATAGTCCCCCTCGATGTTGCCGCTGTTGACAGCTACTAAGGACTCTTTCGCGGCGGCGTCCCTGGTTCGTGGCTCAACGTTCTCCTTCGCGGCGGCGTCCCTGGTTTGTGGGCCAATGTTCTCCTTCGCGAGCTGCCAATCCATGCCGAATCTAGAAATCGACTACGTTACGCCGGGAGTATCGTCAAGCGGTAATGTACGACAAGCTCAAAGACGGGAGTATAAAAGCCTTCTTAAACGCACCATACGTAGACGGGATCTACTAGGACCAGCCAGGCATACAGACGCTAATGTCGAAGAACTAACAAACTATCGTCAATCAACGGCTACAGGATAAGTCACGAACCCTAAGCCGAAATCGACTAAAAAGAGACTTCCACTTCTCAGAAGGGAACTGGTTTTCAAAAGCCGAAACTACCATGGCGGCAACTTCTAGGTGAAGTTCGAGCTGAAGTAAGCGAGCCTCGAGCTTGTCCCTGAGTGTTTGTGGTGTGTGATGTGCGTGGGACGAGTGTTGGGGGGTTGGGGGAGGGGGAAGGAGAAGGTGTTGCTCCTTCGCTCGTCGTGAGTCTAGTCTAGGGAAGAGAAGCGCACCGCGGAAATTCAAATTTCGCGCCTATTTGTGTCAGCAGGTTGGCCAGACAAAGTCGGGTGATCGACCCCGATATCACCGACATCCGTTATCATGCGGGTGCGCGTCGAACCACGAACTGATATCATAGCAAGTAAGTAAATCAATGCATAAACTAGATACCAAGTAGAACAAAATTTATTTCATGTGCACAAGGGTTTTTATTGTACGTCCTTAGCATATTTTACGAAAGCACACGCATAGAGTTGTAAATTAATATATCAAGTTATAACATGCAATAACGTTACGTCAATATGCATATTGTAGCATAATAGTTGCTACATACATGTTTTCATGATTGTTTGACTGATCAATATGCAAAATTACCACCTAGTTTTGGGGAAGTTTCTCGTCACTACCCAGGTTGACTGGAAGCTGACGTTTCGGACCTCCAAGGGTCGGGCCATTTATGCAAGTCCCAACGAAGCTTGGTTTGGAAGCTGAACCCTCGTCGACTGGGCAACGCTGCAAAAACAGGTGCGCGAACCCAAGCCCTTTTCATCACGAGATTCACGTGTGCCCATATTCCACAACTGGGAATGACCCTGTTTAGCGGGGTGCAAAAACCTGGGACGATGGGGAATGGATGTGAATCAAGCCCAAATCGGAGGGTGACGTTGTGGTACGCCGCGGCACCGCGTTTGCCGGGAACGTTGTCGCACTTGACCGCACCTGTCATCTTTCGACTGTTGCATGCAAGCCAAGTGACTTCTCGATTCGATGGCGCCCCCTCCGAACCAGCAACTTGGGTGTCAAACGCGTTCAGCTGGGACCTGGGCAATGCTGCACACACATCGAAAATTTACAGGGCTCTGCTTCTCTCAGAATGGAGAGGGCGTGTTCCATATTCCCTAATTGCAACTTGGCGTCCAGGTGTGCATGGTGCGTTTGACCGTACTGGTAACCAATATAACAACATGAATATAGAGAGTCGCACTCCTAAGCAGGTTGCAGTATTCTCAGATCCAGGGGTGCACCTCTTGGGGGGGCGTGTCCGAAGTGCCCCTCGACATCCATCCGTCATCCATCCGTCATCGGATGGTTGTCAGTGGTGGATGACGGGGGATGACGGATGGATGACGGTTGGATGTCGAGTCACTTCGGACACACTGCCGGCGACATAACTGCCCAAAAAAATGCCGGCCGGCACTGTTGGCGCCGGCAGGGGCAGACCAGAGAAAATGTTAAATGTTCAAATTGGAATCTAACGAATTTCGCTAATATGTTTCGTCACCCCGTGCAAGTCACAAAGGACGGTCGTTTGCCAAGAGATACTTTCGCATTGTTTCCCCCTCAAATTTTTGTTATCAAACTTTGGGTTCGTTGACTGCCTCGTTGACCAGCCCGATGTCACTTGTTGGCGGCACCCTTGACTGTAATGATTACACAGGGCTGGATGACGGATGAATGTCGCTCGGATGTCGAATCACTTCGGACACAACGCCGGCCTGAAAATTCTCACCTACCGACCCCGACATCCGTCGACATCCGTCGACATCCATCGACATGTCACTTCGGACACGCCCTAATGTAAGCTCTGACTGGCGGTCGCGTGTTTCCCACAAAGGACCTGTGAAATGACGCTCTCTCGTCTCTGCTAAATAGCTGGCAGCAGATGTTCCAGCTGGCTCGACCTTCTATTTTGTACAGTATGTGGTACACTGACAGGTACACTCGACCTTCTATTTTGTACTAGCCGAGACTTGAAAAGGGCAGCGGCGGTCAGCCACCGGAAATTGAAATATCCAAGCGCCCCATGGAAGCAACCCACCGCTGGCATGGCATGGTATGTCCTGCTTTCAAACTGCTGCTCCAGACCCCTGATGCATTTGGTTCGTGGCCCACCTGCCGTCAAATAATGGTGAAACTCACCGACACTCTTGCCATCCGAATCTGTCAGAGAAGCACGCGTGAACGAACTTGTAGCTGGCTCTTCATGCAGTGTATCGTTGAAGATGTAGGTTGGAAAAAATCGTATTATCTCGGGCAGATAAAGGTCCTAGGTTCCATCCACCTAACGTTGTTTTTGGAATGCAAATGTTTTTTTTTGACATATACATTTATGAGGACAATGCATACATCAAAAGCAGTCGTAACTGAGCGTGAGGGCACTGCACCATGCACTGCCCAGTAATGCATCTAGGGCGGCAGGAACGCCCGCTTTGGCTTGTTCCAGATAGCAGCGAAGTTTGTCGACCACTTCCATTTTTTGTCACCTGTCTCCCTTATCCTCGCCAGCATTTTTTGCTCCGCTTCGAAAACACTCCTGACCCGTTTTCCCTTCCCTGATGTCCCTGGCCGCAAGCTTTTGGCACCCATTGCTCTCGTGTACACTCTCGC